CTATTCTTGTTGTAGCCCGAGGAAGAGGAATACTGAGCCAGAAGAACATACAAGTAGTTATTAGAAATCACATTTCGTCAAGCACAATGATCCCCTGTACGCCCCCAAACGGGTAGTCGAGATCACGTGACTGAACCCGATCGGGCATTCGTTATCCCTGTCCGGATTTTCTAACCAACTCCTGTGCTTGTGAACAGTGCTAGGAGAAGTGACAAGTAATTGGACATACATATAATATATTTTAACCCGCGTAAGTGAAAGCGTTTTCAACTTCCAGCTATCAATAGTTTGCATTTCTGTGAAGAAAAAAATTGGCATAAACCAATCAATCAACCAGTCAATCAGCCACGAATCAATACTACGACGTCCACGTGCACCAGGTGTCGAAATGGGGAAGCGGACAGTGGTTCGATGCCGTCCGATTCGCACAAATATCCTTGAGGATATCATCGATCTCAAAAAGGAAACAGTAAAGCCCTGTGGGAAACTGCAAGAAGTAAAATAAAAGAAGCATTTCATACACACACATGTCCCGAGTGTAGAGATTACAGAAAATCCACACATGTTTTCAGAGTTCCTTTCACCAATAAGCACCGTCTCAAGATCCTTTCAGAATCGAGAATGACCAAAACAGCTGGTCTGCTGCTACATGCAAAGGATCGTATCAACGTTAATGAGATCCACGTTCTGCCGTCCGAACGGAAACCTACTTGTCCTTCGTGGATAAGGCTCTCTTGCCACGGACGTAGTCAATGCAGGATGAAGGACTAAGCAATTTAGAAATAACGCCGATAATGTTTTACTGTCATAGATACAGCAGTCCGAATGCTGTCCCTTTTTGTGAACACAGACGATAGTTGCGACATATAGCGGTTATTTCTCCGAAATCTACATGGCTTCCAGCACTACCGTGAGGTGTATTATCCGTATTGTATTTGATGAATACGAGTGAAGTTTCGTTTGGACCTGGCGGTTCTAATTACCTGAAGTACTTCGTGAACATGTTTACATCCCATTATGCAGTGACAAAGGGTTGGGTGTAAGGGTCTACCGACGGTTCTACCGACCTAGGGTCGGTAGAACCATTAACAGAAGGTTCCCGCCCAGCGTTCCAAAAACTTCCAAAGGCTACTTATAAGTTGACATTCTTTATCCAGTAATGCTTGGTATACGGAAATCGGTTTTCTTTCTGATGCTGTTAATAACTGAAACGGCTTTCGAAAATTTACAGAGGTCGACACAGATTTCATCGATCATCTATCTACACGATCTTGTTTCGCAGAATCCGTCAGCTGTACTTTGAGCTTTCTGAGGGTTTGTATTTATTACCAGCACGAGTCTGTTGTCAGGTACTCAGTAAATTAAACAAATGGATAAACATCTAGCGACTGCCTTGCGACCGCTCCGTGTAAACACGCGAAACGACACTTACAGAATGTAATACGCGAGGAATTTAAGACTTATAATCTGTGAATTTATCCACTGACTTGGTTTCGACCGCTGGGGGCAAATTCGACCTGAAAACTGGCGAATGCTTTCACTTCAACCACCTATTCCGACACAGCAGACAGGGGGATGATTCTCGCGGAAGACGATCCAAGTGCTTTAATACGAACTGTAATCTGGAACATACACTCTCTAAGGCTGGTTAGAAGACGAGAGGTGCCAAGTAACATGAGTAAGAAAAGGACAGGAACAGACCGTGGTCGCAAAGAGCTATAGCAAACACTCCCCAATGTCAGTGTGATGTCGAACGATTTAGGAGCTCCCACCCGTTCCAAGTCGACCAACTCGGGTGTTCACATAGTACACAATACCGATGCAGCGGAGCCTGTGGATAATTGAACAGATCAGTTGGACGTAGAACACATCTTTCATGGGAGCTGAACCGGTTTTCATCAGAGCCAGAACAGTAATGATGGATAAGAATTTAGGATCCGAAGGCTTGAGGATCTGACTACGTGAATGCACCTGTGAGTTTCATGGTATTTGGGGTTCAACCGGACCGGTCCAACGATCGGGGTGGATGCAAAAATAACACCGGCCTATTTCAGCATTGCGTTATCAGGTGCATACCAATAAACATAGGCACCGTTCGAAATTTCAGATGTACAGTGGAGGCCTAGTTACACGAACCTAAACGAAGCAAACCATGCAAAAGAGCTTCCAGAGAGTCATGAGAAGCAAGTAAGACGTATTGGAATGAATGCCAAACCGGACTGCATACCTTTTTCAAATGGTCCAACACCGTGTATATGGATTGAAATGCATCATCTCGAATGCTTTTCTCAGGGTCCACAGTTAAAAAGGACAAACAAGGAAGAAGTTTGCCGGCAAGTTGATCCGTTTTGTAAAGGTCCTGCGATTCGACAAGGTAGTGTGTATAAACGTTAGCAGAGGCAAAGTGTAGAAGCACATTACAAGTCTGTTGACACAAATCTACAAGAACAAAAGAACGTGAACATTTTCGAAGGTGTTTCCTATATGTGATGCATAACAGCAAAATCACTTCGAGCACCCAGTCACTTACACATTCATTAATGAAACAAAGATGCAACGGAATACAAACGTAATAGGGTATATTGAAATACGGATAAGATATTTACAGACCAAAAGTATGGAGAAGAAGAGGCAACTCAAGCCCAAGGCCTTGCCAGGGCCAACTCCATGAGGCTTCTGTCGGTTTGAGCAGCGGCGCATCTCCGAAGAGTAATGGGCGTACTCTACAACCAATACATACAAACAAACGCGACCACTAAGATAGAGAAGATATTCGCGCTGCTCGCTCTTGATCACATGATGCCCTTGTTTCCACTTTTAATTGCTTCCCGAACACTTAACGACTTGTAGTTCGTTTTGTGTTTGAATAAACTACGATTGTACGCACGAATACATTTGTGCTCCCGCACGTAATTCTCTGAATCAGTACTCATCTCTGAATTATTTTATTATCCCGTCTCCCGGAACTTGCATTATAGCACCCAACCGAGCTGCGAACATTCTAAATATGCTTATTGCTAAGTTCCGATGCTGAACATTTGCGGACAGATGTTGAGCCCCCCACATTTAAAGGGTAGCCAGCCACCATTCATAAGAGATAGCACCGATAACATGACAATCAGAAAGTATGACGATTGACCAAGCTGGGGATGTGTTTGTCCCGTATCAAACTGACTGTAAAGATTTTTCCAAAAGGTTGTCCAACACATCCGCAATGTCCATTCACAACATCCATTGTCGCCACTGCTTACACTTTCTATTTCAAAAACGCAATGCACTGAAAGTGTTCTGAGTGGCACTGCCTAATTTGAGGTTTGTTAAAACTTTGTGGAAGAGGGAACTTAGTTGCCCCTTTAGAAGCCAGATTCCACAGCTAGTGACCACTAGCGAAAAATCCCTTAAATATGCCAGTTTACTGAGATCGCAAGTCGACTACTCGCTAGCTCTCAGTAGGCTAGACTGAAAGCGAA